GCAGAAAGTTCAACGTGCGGCTCATGCTGTATGTCTCTTCATTCTCCTCCACTCTTCTGGTCCGCTCATTCAAAAATGTGTTGCTTTGTAGGAAGAGCTCAAGGCCCAGCAGAAGCACGCCAAGTTCACTCGAGTGGAACACAAGGCCCGATTGAGGTTTTTGAAGGAAAAGGAGCGATACGAGCGAGTCGAGGCGCAGTTGCGATCCATCGAGGCTGATTACGAAGTGCGTCTTGCCTTGCATTGTCTTGCTGACACTTGACTAACATCGCTCTTCCCCCAGGCCAAGCGAGAACATGCTTCCCAACAAACCGATCTTCTAGCCGAAAAGACTCAAGAGTTGAACGATCTCCGAGCGCAAAAGGCTGCGGATGACGTGAGTTTCTCAATTAGCCTCTTACACTTGAGCGGTATGCTGACACCCACTGTTTTGTGTCGTCTAGCGAGAACGAGAGCTCAAGCTCTTGTCGTTGAAGAACCCGGGCCATGCTTAGGAGATGGAGTGTCTGAACAGTGATCTGTTCCTTCGTATTGTGTCCGTGCTCGTATTGCGTCCGTGCAGATCTAAAGAAGGACAGCTATCATGGTGAAAGAAATGGTAATCATGTACAATTGATGAAAATAATGTTCAAGTGGATTATAATAGTATTGTTTTGCAATCCTCCAAGTACTTGAGATGCAAGATGTAGGCAAGGCTGATTCACGATGGCGACGTGACTGGATGTGATGTTGACAGTTACTGTACACCCAGCTTGAAGGAGGTATCGACACTGTTATTCCGCGCGGTCTCGGTGTTCCAGGCCGAACCTTTTACTACAAGAGGGTGGGAGTCGCTCGAAGAGGAAAGTTGGCCTCGTAAGCCGCCCTGTTGAAGGAATTCAAGTGACGAAGGAGTTGCGAGGATGGTAGATCAGGTGTGCACTCTCGACGATGTCAACCAATCAAGATTACTCACATCAAAGCGATCAATGCGGGCTCGGACCATTTTCGACCCAGGAAACAGAACCCGAACGGCTCGCCGTTCTTGTGCACACCCAGAGGTACAGCAGCGATGGGATATCTATAGCCAATGGCACAAGGGGCGTTAACCGCAGCTTTAGCGGCGGGTTTGTCCACTCGGACTGAATGCATGATGAACAGCGAACTGACCCTCCATATGCAGCATAACCCGTCGCAAGTCCGTTGGTTGGAAAAATGAGCGCATCTAGTTGATACTGATCCATCACCTTGTCAATTCCTTCATCCTTACAGATTCTCTTGACTATATAAAAGTCAGTGGTCTCGAAACAAGTTGAGGAACATATGCAGATGTGACAGTGCAATACTACTCACGGCTCGCCTTGGCATCGATGTACTCAGCCGATTGCGTCCCCTCTGACGCTTCAGCCTCGAGAAGCTGTTTTTCCGGCGATGGGAAACAGGATCAGTTTTGATACTGTCACTACTGGCCCATGATGCTCACCAGATCTTGTCCGCTTTGTCCCGGTGGCAGCTCCAGGTCCTAGTTGATGGAAGAAGTTAGTCCCCGCTAGTGTACGCATCAGCGAATGGCAGGACCGGCTTACAGCGTGAGCTACGTTAAAACTTTTAGAGGAGACACGTCAATGCAGGCACAAGTGGCTTCGAAGGTAATCGACGTGTTCTCTTCGCTACTCACTCGATGATCTCTCGAAGGTTGACAACTTCACTGCTTTGCATCTTACTCAAATAGTCAGCAAGGCCTTCCTTCACATCCGCTTGAATAATCACATCCGCATATGCTTCGAATCGAGCCAGCCATTCGTCGTAACTTGGAAGGTTTGTAGGGTCGCAGATTGTCACTCCAAGCGACTCCATCTTTTCGATGGCGACTTGGAACGCAAGATTGATTGTGGCGTCGCGACAATTCAAAGAGTCACTGTGTCAATAGATTTGTTAGTCCACTCGTAGCAACGATTCGGCGAAGAAGTACGCCGCGAGGGGCCCACCTAGGAGCACTGAGAATACCGTGGCGCGGTACTCCGATCCGCTTTCCTGTAAACGTTGCGTGCGGCAACTTGGTGAATAAAGTATAGTCGTTCCTTGTGTGTCCTTGTGCGGCAATAGCTATTGACGGACAAAGGTGAGTGATCAGTAGTCTTACAGTCACCTCGTCGACTCACTCGCCGGGTCCTTCGCATCGTAGCCGCTCATACATTCAAGCAAAAGAGCGGTGTCATAGGCCGATTTCGTGATGGGACCAACCGTATCAATTGTAGCACTGATCGGGACCACTCCGAAGCAAGAGATGAGACCAGCAGTCGACCTCAATGCATACCCCGCCGCTCTTCCCGCTGGCAGGATCAGAGAACCATTGGTTTCAGTGCCAAGAGCGCCTGGCGCCCATCCTGCAGATACCGATATAGCGCTTCCACTCGAGCTTCCGTCTGGGTTAGCGTTCGGGTATCCACCAGCCACGTACGCCGACAACGGTTGCCCGCCCCGAGCTGACCAACCCCAATCCGCCTTGCTGTATTTGCAGTTACCAAACTCTGTCATGGTTGTTTTCCCAAGAATTATTGCGCCGGCGGCACGCAACTTTGCAATCACCGTGGCGTCTTCTTTCGGGATAGAGTTGACGAGGGCATAACTGCCGGCGGTAGTGTGCATGCCTGCCTTGGAATCGGGACTCAGTCAAGTATACCAGATTAATGGGATGTGCTCACTTACCTAGCTTTGGGTCCGTCGCGATATTGTCTTTGACCAACAAGGGGATTCCATGAAGCTTGCCGAGGGGATGCTATGCGACGGAGAGGTTAGATCGTGCTTGTTGATTGATGGTCCTTGAGACTTACGCCTTCGGCTCGCATTTTGTCACATGTACGAGCTATCTCCAGGAGACTACGAACGGGAGGCGTCTCCATCACAGCTCTCAACTCTAAGCCCTTCCTGTTGTTTGCCTCGATCCTGTCCAGATACGCCTGAACGAGCTCCACACTCGTTGTCCTTTTATCAGCCAAATACCCTTGGAGGTCTTTAATGGTGACTGTTAAAAAGTCGATTTGAAAGGTTGAGTTTCCGGCAGAAGGAGTTTGCAGAGGATCTGGTGACATTGTGAGAGAATAGGACAGTTTGACCTGGGACGGAGATGTAGCTGACTCGAAGCGTAGGTTGAGCGAAACCGGGTACTTGTTGTTCGCGCCGCGCTGTTTGATAAGTGCTTGCCGGTCCTCGATATATGTCAGTTGGGATCTCCATGGAGAAAGGGCGAGAGAAAAGAGACAAAGGACTACACACCGATACAAGATCGAGTGACTTATCGCCCGAAACGCGACTGACCTGGGTCAATGGCGCTTCGAATCCCTTTGCCGCTTGATTTTCGAAGCAGCGGAAAGTCCTTTCCAATCAGTCCGCATGGTTGTCAAGGCCAAGATGGACAATTTAGATGTCACTGTGCATATCGGGCGTAAGAGCTACAGCTACGAGTACATGGAATTAAACTCATCGTCTTCATTCGGCCGCGACCTTTGCGCCTGCGCATGCAACCCAAACATGTTCAAACCTTCTCCGTCCTGCCGACCCAAGGGTAAGCTCGCCCGAGAGCCCCCTTCCAAAGTGTGCCCGAAAACTGATCGGAAGAGCTGTAGCATCGGGTCGGTGTAGTTTGCTTGCGCTTCGGTCGATTCTGGTGAGGATGTTGATACGGATGGATCCATCGTCGCTCGGCATAATGGGCAGGTGTTATTCTAGTGATCCAGGTCGTTAAGTAAAGTGAGAACAGCGACGTTTGCAGCTGGTAAAGAGACTCACCAGGCGTAACCATTTGGCAGCACATTTTCCGCATACGATATGTCCTGTTTTCCCATCGCCAACAGACCCGCCACTTACACCTGCACAAGGAAGCCGACGCAATCCCATCTCTTCCATGTTGCCACCGATATGGTAATCCGATGCCTCGGCATATTCTTGCTCGGTGATGATCTGATCGTATGTGAGCATGCAGATGGGACACGACTGGTTTTGTTCGTCATCTGTGTGACAATTTTTGCCGGCATAAGCAAGAGAACGGGACGTCCTGTCCTGAGACGTGCTTACCGTCTGAAGAAGGCTCCACAGAGATTTCTTCGTGAGTCACTCGGGGAACACTGGCGATGAATTCCGGCGATGCCCCCCTCACACTATTAATGTAAGCGACTGTCAGCCCTGGACTACCAAGATACCCACACATCCAACTCACTTTCCGCCTAGTGCTTCCAGGTTACCAAAGATCTCGTCATACAGATCCTCGTCCACCATCAACCCGCCACCGTCCACTTCTTGCTGCCCATCAGTACCTTCTCCAAATCGTGCGGTGCCAACTATCCGCTGTAGTTCTTGCATGAAACCTTCGAAAGTTCTTGGTGCATCGCGAGCGGCGTAGGGAGATGGATCGGCGGGGTTGGTGGAGTTGGGACGCGTGTCCTCTGGGATGTTGTGGTCTTCTGTATGTGCCAAAGAGAATCAGTAAGATGTCCAGGGTTGTCCGAGGAAAGACTTACCCTCGTATGTAGACATGATTATATTGAGCAAGAATGCGAACTTTTGCTCGAGGTATCAATCCGAGTCTTCTTGTTTGGATGATGCCCAACGACACACTATCTTGTGGGAGAGCTGGCGATGTAGTCCAAGGAGTGGTCCTATGGCTGTTCCAATGATCCGGTACACGAAACCCTGATTTCAGCCCAAATCCGTTGTTAGTTGTAAAAACAGGGACGACGATGAAACAGTGGACAAGCATGACGAATCGTCTCCCAACCCGGGAGCATTTACCAAGGTTGTGTCCGGCGGCTAAGAACCTGGCAGTTCCACCCCCTCCTTTGCCGTCGTTTTCAATTCGCATTCATCCGTTCTGTGCGATACTTACAGACTTGAAACTTGGTAGATAGATAGGTGAGAGTCCTGGATAGTTTATTCTGGAAGTTGAATGCTGGCAAAAGTCCAATTCGAGCTCCAGACACTAAAAATGCGTTATACACATAAAAACTTCCCTTCACATATCGAAGGTTCCAGGAGCACGGTGGTTGTGCGTCGGATTGCAATTCAAACACTGAAGATCCGCAGGTCATGTGTTCGACTCACATCTGGAACTTACCTTTTTGCGTTTCCAGGAAAACGGGGGTGCGGCACGGAATTGGTACGGAAGATAAGACGTAGTCAGCGAAGTCGTTGTTCCAGAGGCGGAAAGCGGCACCTCAGAGCATGCATGTTTGTTGAGCCGAAGGGGGAGTGGATACACTATTAAAAGGTGGGATGTAGATTCGTCGAACGATGGATGTAGATTCGTCGAATGATCGACCTTTGACTCTATCGAAGCCACCAAGCCATAAGCCAAAGGGGTGTCTTAACCCGGGCGCACCTCCTTTCTCCCCTTCAACTGCGTCTGATAATTGTATGATAGTCCCGTATGACCCCTGAAAACACGACTTCAGCTAAGGTCGCCTGTTCAATCCAGGCCTGGAACTTCTCTTTTTGTCGTTTTCGTCGACCTCACGATGTCACGGAACGAAGAAGAATTGGGGAGTTTTTGAAGGGAACGAAGGGATCGCGTTGACTAGTTTCGATCAGGTCCAGCACTGTGTAGTCTCTTGGACATACATCCCAATCATCCAGAGCTCTCATCAGCTCCGTCCCCCATTGCGCGACTTTTTTTGGTTATTGTCTGTCAATTGAAGGAGGAGGTACAAGAGAATGCTCTCCTGCTTCTTGTTTCTTTCAGTCTCTCGCATGTCGAAGAGAGATGAGCCTGTAGTGAACCACATGGGTTGTAAAGGTACACTTCTGCATAGGTACCGAGGACCCCTGTTAGCTCCATGCATATGTCCGATGGAAAAGACGACTACTTTAACGGGTGGAAGCACGCGACTGAACCGCGTTTCATCAGGCATATGTTTCGCGGGCGAAGGATCAAAACACGAAGAACGTGAGATAGCAACGCCGTTGTATGTGGGAACTAGCAAGAAGTTGACATGACTGATTACGTAAGGCGATACTTGTATACCTGAAGGTGGAACACGGAAGCGTAGCTAATCCTGAGGTGGTCTTGCACTCAAGGTAGCTTCGTAAATTAAAGTGAATCAAAGGGTGAATCAATAGTCACGAGCTATGAAAGAGCCGGGTAACGTTGTATTGTTAGTAAATAACTATATTATCATCTGTACCTAGGCGTCCGGACGCGAGTCCGGCTGGCCTGTCCAGAGCGGGGCGTTATTTCGAGCTGCTTTTTCTTCTTTTTAGGCCGCACTGTATCCCACAATGTGCTTAATTCCCCTTTGGGTGAGATGGGGTAAAATTGGACTAAGACAAGAACAAAACCGTCGTTAGGAGAAGTGATCGCTAAACATCCATTCTACTCAGAGATCATACCTCGCCACTACACCGTGTACAATTGTAGAAACAGCTTGACTCTACCTCGCCATGGCAGGACAACTTACACGGGCTACACAGCAAGTCACCCAAAGCATGGCAACACAGCAAGCCGAGGTGTCCTTGCAGGACCAGGCTGTTTTGGACAGTATTCGCGAGGATCATCAGAGTTCGCGTCCCAAAGCGACTACAGCGTCTTACAAGGGTCCTCAGAAAGAGTACCGAGACTGGTGCTTGCAAAGAGAAGTGCTGGTCAACAAGAAGCTTGCGTTGGAGCAGCTGGATGAGGTGCGACGTCCCATTGAGGAGGCGAACAGGTATATATTTTATGTTCATATGATTCTCTGCTTCAGTATAGCGTATGTAAGAGCTTATACTGATAAGTGTCTATGTTTCCCCCAGAACACTCGTCACCGGCTCCAGAGTGGCGGTGTTTTTAGCAGAACGGGTAGCAGGGAGAGAACATCGGTCACGAGGGAAAGGAAAGAAGGTTTCACGATCGGAGTCGCCTGCTGCAGAAATCACTGGTGGGAAGACCGTTGGGTGGAAAACTATGGAAAGATACCTGTGCGCCTTATGCGACCTCCAAAAGGCGCAAGCTAGCACCACCGGTGCCGTCCTGGTTAGTCCTCGAGCGCATCCAGAAGTACAAGCTCTCGGCCAGACTTTGAAACGAAAGAATGCAAATCTGAAGAAGAGTCATCATAACGATAGGGCACAAGGTACGAGTAGTAGTTGACGACAGGCGGAAGAGTTATGCTAGCTAACAGCTTGACTGATGAACGTTGATCAATGAGCGCAGGTACATTCTTGGATGGTTATAGTCTGGATCAACAGTTTGCGAAAATCCTGACCGAAGGATTTGACAGAAACTCCTCCCAGGGGCTCAGAGATCGAACCATGGCGGCCTTCTCCCACTTTGGACTTTTAAGAGGCGAGAACACACGGGGCATACAGCTTCCGGATCTGCAATTTCTGTCTTTGGATGATAGAGAAGGACCCAGTAGATGTGATGTAATGGTAGTGTTGCTGTTCAATGGCAAAACCAACCAAGAAGGACGAACTCAGTACATGGGAGCGATGAGGAATAAGGACTGGAGTTGCTGTCCCATGGGTGCACTGGCTATGTGGCTCTTTTATCGGTCAGTCGCATGATGACCTATTGCATATTCGTGGAGAACTTATTGCTGAGATACAGAAACCGCACAGCTTCCATATCAGCGGAGAGACATTCGGAGACGAGTGCACCTCGTTCCCCAAGCTCGACGAACCCGAGGAGTGGTACCCACTGTGGCTGTTCCCCGGTAAGACGGCGTATGAACCGATGACATCTGATGCCCACTATAAGGCTGTCAAAACCGTTCTCGAAAATTCCGGTATGGATTCGGAGTCGAAGTCAGTAACTCACATCTTCAGAGGGTCTGCGGCCAGGATGGCGGACCTCAAAGGTGCTGGGGAGAGTGACATCAGACGGGCAGGACGATGGGACATGTCATCCATGACGCAATACTACCTTACAACACTCCCCAGGGAGACGATGCGTGTACTGGCCGGGTTCTCTATTCAGCCGGGTACCTTTTGGCTCGCTAGAGATCAAGACCCGCCTAAGGAACTAGAAGATATGATTTTCCCACAGGCGGACCTCTGGTAAGGCAATACAATGATTGAAAGGTTGAACTCACTAATGACATGATCGCCTCGTGCATACCCGTAGGCTACTGAAGCTTCAGGTGGCGAAGACAAGAAGCCTGGCAGCACGAGGGTTTCTCACCCTCTTGACCCGCCTCCGGAGAATCCTCCTGCAAGACTGTGCCCTACTGCAGAAGACTCATCCGCATCACCTTCTTTTCAAGCACGACATTTTCCAAACGCCTGCCTTTGCGGCGTTCGCAGAACGTGTGCGCACAGGCGTCGATGAAGCCGTCCACCCTAGAGAAGTCATTTTGCAACAAGCAATGCCCCAGTTAGCCGATGCGATAGATGCAATGCGGGGATCCATGGGTAACAAAGTGGCCGACTTACAAGCTATCGTGAGGCAAGAGACATCCTCCATCCGCACCGACTTAATCCCTGTAATGGAACGGCTAGGAGATGCCCAGAAGAAAAATGGCATGGCCATTCATGGAGTGTCGACGGCGCTGGGAATGTTGTCGGAAGGCTTGCGTAAAGTTTCAAGCGGGGTCTTCGAGACGAGGCTGCGACTGACGGACGACCACGACGGAGGGACAGAAGAGGGCTGTAGGGAGAAGGAAAGATCTTCAGATTCGTTGACCGAGATGCTGTTACAGCTCGAGAAGGCAGGTGCCGACTCACTGCAAGCGTCGCGTGACATGGCCCTTCCTCCACAACGCAACATCGCCCAGGGTATATCGTCCAATACATCCGGCTCGTCTGCCCCGGCACGTGTACCTGCTTCCAAAGTATTCGTTTTGGAAAAGAATCATGCGACGGTTCTAGAGCTATGGAAAGAATGGAAGCACGGCTTGTTTGGTCGGCCGTCAGTCGAAGTCATGCTTGACCAAGGCTACACGAAATCAGAGGCACAGCGAAAATTGTGCTCACGGAGGAAAGTGATCATCGATGAGGTGATCCGACTTGCGAAGGAGAGAACGGAGCCGGAAGACCACGTAGTTACGGCGCTTGACGTTTACTTAATCGCCAACAAGATGTCGATCTCCAAGCTACAGGAGACGATCAAAGAGAGGACGAAGGATGGGAGGACGGCTGCAGTGTGGCTGGAAAGTAGCGAGGGTGGGAGATGATGTGAATGGATGTGTCATACATTCATACTTTATCAGGCGTTGGAAACTATATCTGTAGTTGTATACACGAGATTATTGATCAGTATCTACCCGATTCCATGATTCACCGCTTTACTTACATTACAACACTACAGACAAAGGTCGATGTAGCTACATGCCCTCGGAGTCAGTGGCACAGCATACAGCATCAACCGATGTAACGGTGTGCGCTCCGCTTCGTTGTCTGCTTATGGTAAACCTCGGTGGTGAGGGTGATGGAAGTAGCAAGTAAGGGAGGACAGAAGTTTGCCTGATCGTCAACGCAATTGCCGTATGGTCAACGTAATGAAAATCTTACTTGCCGTAGCTGTGGGAAGTCGCTGCATTCGACAGACGACCATGCATTGCAAAGCTTGATTGAATGCCACGGACTTGGTGAAGTAATAGACGCAAAGAGACGTGGTCAGTGCATAGATCAGTGAAACGGGGAATGCAGATCATATCTTCATTCGTACGGCCCTTGTCAACTTATCTAGCCCGGAATGAGTCAAAGTATGGAGTGGCTTGCTCACTAGGTCAGGTCTCGCAACGATGTCAGGTGCCGGGCCAGAGGGGCGCTCAGAAGGCTAAGACGAAGAGGACATGTCAATTGTCATCATGCATGCTCATTGACAGAAGTCTGCAGTGTCGACCTATTTGTCTATGTAGAATTGGACTTAGCGAAATTTACGGCTTTAAATTTCGATAATATGGCAAAGGAATGGCACATTTGCATGTAAACTCACAGAAACTACATTCGTATCTGACTTGACGCTCAATGTTACAACAGGTTAGTCAACAATCATCACAACCAATACTGTGAGGTAAAGCGATTAGCTCAAAGCACGGTGATGAGCGCCTTTGCACCTTTGGGGTATGAAGACTCTTACCAGATATACTAATGTATGATGAGCAACCAGCACCGGGCCGGTTGCTCTGCGCCAAC